ATGGTTGAAAATTGATGCCCCTTAGCTTCCAAGCTCCTTGCTTCTTAGTCCTACTGCCCCAACTCGTGCGCCACCCTTAAGTGCCCTCTAAATTCCCGAAATGAACAAAAAAACTAATCTGCTCTAACAACTTGCGATTCTAACCACTTCTGCCCATCAATCAACCATCGCCTACCGAAAAACCAAATAACCGCCTTTAACCTTTAATCCATAACCCGCAGTCCACATCCAACCAAGCACATCCACCACACAGTCCAGCCACACCAACCAACATATTCAACTGCAATCTTACCAACCCCACACACTGCCCCACAACAATCATAACCACCAGTTCGTGGCCTTTACCCGGTCACCTTCGAGTGGGCAGATAACTCTACCGCGCCTCCACAGGGGCCCGAGACACGGCCACTCCCCCCAACCCGCCAAGGCCCCCTCACTCCTCCAGCACATGCGTGGCACAGTAATTTCAGATCTCTCCTTTGAATCAGGCCTATCGGACGACTACGCCCTGCCCCCCGACGCCGTATCGGAGTCCACATGCATGGACGCCTCGATGCCGTCATTGCTGATGCGACAGTCCTACGTAGATTCACCCAGCAAAAAGATTGAGTCGCTGGAGAAGGTAAGTGTACAACGAACCGTCCATAAAGTGTCATACCCATTTGCCGCTGACCCTTTTTAGATGGGCCACCTGGCCAAGTTGGGTGGTAAGTTGAAGACTTGGCGCAAGCGCTGGTTCGTTTTGAAAAACGGATCCCTCAACTACTGGAAGAGCCAACACGACGTGCAACGGAAGCCCCAGGGTCAAATCCAACTGGACGAGGCCTGTCGAATAAATCGGGCGGAAGGAGCTTCCACCTTTGAGATAGACACGGGCAAGAAGGTATACTACCTCACGGCGGACTCGCACGCCACCATGGACGATTGGATCCGAGTGCTACAGAACGTGCAACGAAGGAATGCCACCAAGCTGCTGCTGAGTCGCGATGACCAGAAGCCCACAGTGCAGGGTTGGGTGACCAAGGTGAAAAACGGCCATCCCAAAAAGTGTTGGTGTGTGTTGTTAGGCAAGATGTTCCTTTACTTCAAGGCTCCTGCTGAGACGGTAAGGAAGCATTAGGATACCAATAGCGAATCGTTATAGCCTTATTTGTTTTACTCCTTGAAGAATCCACTGGGTCAGATCAATATGCGCGATGCTCGAGTCGAGGAGGTAGAACACGTCTCTGACTCTGATTCCGAGGAACGAGAGGACGCCGCCCAGGATCAGGCTAGACTTACTGTTGCCATCTTTCCGGCGCACCAGGGACCAACCTACCTGATCCTGTCTGGCAAACCAGAGCGAGATAACTGGCTCTATCACCTTACCGTCGTTTCTGGCGGCGGACCAAGTGCCGGCACACAGTACGAACAGCTCGTACAGAAGCTCATGGAGACCGACGGCGATCCTAGTGAGTCCCTACATGCAAATAACAGATTCGATTAAGTCCCTTAAATAATTCACCTAATTTTCAGACTGCGTTCTGTGGCGCCATCCTATTCTGCTGCACACCAAAGACACCATCACGGCCCCGCTCTCATCTCTGCACACGGAAACCATGCAGCCGGAGGCCATTAAGCTCTTCAAGGTGAGTCGGTGCTCGCAATCGAAACCTTTGAAATCTGTAAAATACTTTCCTCGTCTTTCATAGAGCATTCAGCTGTTCATGTCGGTGGCGGTCAACCAGCCTGGCATCGACTACCACGTGGTGCTCGCCCAGAACGCTCTGCAACATGCTCTGGATATGCCAGAGCTGCAGACGGAGATGATCTGCATCCTGATCAAGCAGACCTCCCGCCACATGGGCCAGAAGCTCAGTGTCGGCGTCCAGGTAAACAAGAAGCTGGGCAAGCAAACGCGCGTAAGTTTTTCAGTTGCAAAGCTTCTTATGTTCCCCGAAAATCATCCTTCCCGAAACCTGCATCCCCCTGGAAATGTTTAGTTGTTTTTTTGTGTAGAAATTCCTCCCGAAATCCTCACTAACAACTTGCAATAATAGCCCAAGAGAGTCTCGCAGAAGGTGGGAAACTGTGCCGAAGTACAGTCATCATCCATGTCTCTAATAGGTATTCTTTTCTTTGCGATCATTGCCTTCCTATAAAAGCTTTGCTTCAAGGAACGAACGCTTCATACAAAATATCATATTTAAGCATACTCAATATTATGTCATACAAATAAAACAAACACTATCAACTACAGTATCAGTTATGTAGATATGCATGCCAACCTAACTTAATAATCAACTAAACCTAGCCAAGAGTTTATTATTTTTGATTACTTTTTTTTAGTTTTCAGATTTCTGTTAGTAGCAAACAGACAACAAATTTCCCCCATAACTGTCAGAAATGTTTCTGTATGTATTCATATATAGCTATCAGTACGTCACTGTATAACTCTCTATAAACAGCTCATTGTTTAAAGTACTTGCTGTGAATTTTACGAAACCAAATGTAAAATAAAATAACCACCAAATCACTTAACCACTGACATAACACTTAATTACGCAGCAGCCGCATACCAAAATATATTGATAACATTTACCCGTGCTGGCAAACAAAACTATCTTGTTTGTATTTTGTTTAAGTTCTTAGAGTTTCCATGGTTTTTCTTTTTTTTTATAATATCTTTATATTTTGCTTTGAATGTGCTCTTTGTGATTAACCTTTATCCTGTTATACTTTGCATTATGCTTTTTAAACGAACATAACGAAGCGTATAGCGTAACACAATACAGCCAACAGAAAACATCAACCACAAAACAGACAAAAATCACACCGCTAAATAATGATGAGTGAAAAATTGATCCGAAAATGTTCTCTGGCTTCTTCTTTTTCCCATATTTTTGTTGCCTTGCGTTGCGTTTCGATTCAAACGTTGCGTTTCCGTTGAGTGTGTTTCGTTTCGCGTGTAACCGAAACCAACCCTAAATGTTTTCCAACACTGTACGAATGACCGACCCCGAAATTTACAGCAACTATTGTTGTGCGCCACCCAAAGCTTATTCACCTGTGATACCCAACAGGCGGGCCACGCCCAAGCCAACGGCAGTTCGCCCACCTCCATACAGGTATGCGGGGAAATTTATAGTCTTACTAACTACTTTACAATAACACTCTACCAGTCAACTTTTCTGTACTGTAACATTCTTTGTTGTGCGAGTACAGTTGCGTTCGATTTCCGTAGTGACGTAGTTATAACTTTCCGAACCTCACTTCTACTAACTTGAACTCTAACCCCCTGAAGTTAAATTGTATCCGAACTTATCTCTGAATGGTACCATCTGCAGGCTCCTACTGCCACGCCCATAATAGACTGCAAGAGCAACCCGCCCGCGTACAGCTTTGTCCAAGGCTGGCAGCTACTGGCGTTGGCCGTATCCCTCTTCGTTCCGCGCTCGAGTCGCCTACTGTGGTACCTCAAGCTTCATTTGTCCCGGAATGCGGATACCAAGACGGAAACGGGCAAGTATGCCGCCTACTGTGAGCGTGCTCTGGAGAGGACCCTAAAAAACGGGGGCCGGGAGACGAAGCCTTCGCGGATGGAGGTGCTGTCGATTCTCCTTAAGAATCCGTATCACCACAATCTGCCGCATGCGATTCCCGTGCACATGATGAACACCACCTACCAGGTAACATGTTTGGTATTCCCCCAGGCTCTATCAGTTTCTCACCGAAATCATCCTACAATCAGGTGGTTTCCTTCGATGGATCCACTACCATCGAGGAATTCCAGGCCACCTTGGCTCACGAACTGGGTACAAGGGATGCAAGTAATGGGTTCTGCCTGTTCAGCGATGATCCGATCGAGAAGGACCTGGAGCACTACCTAGAGCCGCTGGCGAAGCTGTGCGACGTGATCAGCAAGTGGGAGACAGCGTTGCGGGAAAAAGGTTCAGGCAAGTTTGAGAATTCTCGGGTGATCCAATTGAGCTACAAAAACCGTCTATACTGGAAGCACACCATCAAGTGCGAGACGGACAAAGAGCGCTTGCTTCTATGCTACCAAACCAACTCCCAGATAGTCCAGGGCCGATTCCCTCTGTCCAGAGAACTGGCTTTGGAGCTATCCTCGCTGATGTCGCAGATCGACATGGGTGACTACTCGCTGGAGAAGTCCAGAGATGTGGGTGTGGGCCTGAAGGGTCTAGACAAGTTTTACCCGTATCGCTATAGGGACGCCCTGGGTGCCGAGCAACTGAAGGATGTGCAGGAGCTGCTGGTCTCTAAGTGGATGCTGCTTAAGGGTCGCTCCACCTTGGACTGTGTGCGCATTTACCTCACCTGCTGTAGAAAGTGGCCTTATTTTGGGGCCTGTTTGTTTCAGGCGAAGCCAAGACAAAGTCCAGAGTCCAACAGCGCCACGGCAACTACTCCGGTTGCTTGGTTGGCAGTAGCGGAAGATGCCCTGAATGTCCTTGAACTGTCCACAATGGCCCCGGTGGCCAGGTATCCTTATAGTTCTGTCATGACCTTTGGCGGCTGCCAGGATGACTTTATGGTAGTAGTGTCCCACGATGATGGCGGAGGTTGTGAGCAAAAGCTTCTATTTGCAATGAGTAAGCCCAAGATCTTGGAAATCACGCTGCTCATAGCGGACTACATGAATGCTCTGGGTCACACAGTTCCCGGAACTCCGCAGATGAACTCCCTGACCCGGAATGGATCGCATCGCTCGCTGAGAGCCTCCCAGCGTCAGGCCTTAGCTGGTGGCTCGGCAGTGGCCACAGGGTTCTCCACGAATGCCACTACCACGGCTCACAACACGCTCAATTCGCATGCGACGCACACGCTTAACTCAAACCACTCGCACACGCTAAGTAGCTCTCATCACGCCGGCGGAGGAAGTCAGCCGGGAACACTGAGTTCGGGTCACCATCAGCACCACCATCACCAGCAGCACCACCAGCCTGATATACTAAAGAGTACGCCGGATCATCAGAGGGTCAAGTAGAACTGATTTGAATCTCAAGAGGGGCGTTAATAACAAAGGATCACGGACAGAAGGACAACTAATAAAACAATAATTCCTCATGGATCAAGGGTGCCGGAAAAGAGTATTATGGATCCTTGCTGAAGGATCCCGCATTGTACATAAACGAGGATCGCAGCTCAACAGACATACATATACAACTAAACAGATACATATTCATCAGCCTAGTGGCAACAATTATATACATAACGATAGATGGATAACGATAGCGATAGCAGTAGAGAGACTACTTAGCCTGATCGGCCTGAAATGGACCTTATTCTTCTTGCGCACCATTCACTGATGTTTTTTCTGAGCTAACAACGGTACTCGTACTCTAAATTTAAATTGTAAACAGCAGCAAGCATATACATACAATTTAATTTTTTTTTAATAGTCCTAAGACCAACGTACCCGAATGCACGAGGTATGTGAAAAACCGTGAACAGAACCGGTTGACTTGTTATTGTCCTATTTTTTTTTCTTTTTCTTATTTTTTTACCATCAAACAAGCAACCAAATTGCAAAACACACCAATATATACATTATAATTCAGTGTTCTCGCTCTTCGATGATTTGTAATGAATCTCAATTTGTAATTGTCCCTCCATGCGCAAAACTGCCTTTTGAATTTGTAGATGTCAGAGCCAAGAACGTGAGAAACAAAAGAATACAAACAAACAAAACAGCCAAAAACAAGCGAAGTAGAATTAGCAGGAACCAATCGAGAAATTAAGCAAATATTTTGTAAAGGATTTTTAAGCCTAGTGCAGGACGACCATCAACCAAGCATCCCCATTTACATCTAGATATTTACAGATACCCCCCAATTCGTATGGTTTCCGCTTCAACTCGAGCAGCGATTTTATGGTCGACGTATTTAATTTTTAAACGCGTTTAAGCCTGTGCAAAGGCTAGATGTATACAAAAATTTCATTCACCAGAGCTTCAGCAGAATTATAACATACATATATACTTTTTACGTTAGATAAACACTCTACCCAATTAATTATTGCCCACTTTTTTACACTGCCCCACAGAAGCATATGCATTCATATAGTTATATAGAAAGGGTATACATGTATTCGGATTCGATATTTAACAAAATTATATACACCAAATTAACGATATAACAGTGTTTATGGTAACAGCTCATTTTTTTCCTAACTGTAAAGATTTGATATTACAAATTTATATGCGCCGAAGAGCAACGAAAACTGAATCTAAGCGGGAGAATCGAGCATCTCATTGGGAAAGAATCGAATATCGAAGGCTTGCAAGTGGATATAAACTATATAGGCGAATGTATCACATCACACTCCAGTGAAATGAAATATATATAAAGGGAAATTAACGATTAAAACTAAACCAAAAATGCACCGGCGTTTTTACTGTTTCGGGTTCTTGGGTATTGTAGCATATGTATATATATATCGCACAGTTGTCTTTTTTTAAACAATGTAAATTGATTTATTTGCCTTAATTTTATACATATAAATTGCCTAAAACTGTTATCGTTTCTTTTCTTTTCGTTTTCCTTGCTATGTTTTTGCAGTTTGTATCAATCATCCCCGCCGGATTCGCTATGCAGGCTGAATTTATCGGCACAGCGGTTCCATCTACGATCTAGACATTTATACACACACACACGGATCGGAGTTTATAATTTACAGATTTGGGTCGTCGTCGCCCGACTTGGCTCAAAGGTCGGCTAAATTAAACTCGATTCGTAATCAAATATGCAGAAAACCTGCGTAAACTAAGGGAGCGTAAAGCGAAATGAAATGGGCCAGGGGCCGGGAATTAATAGTAAATGGAATCCGAGACCGTAAATAACACAAAGGTAAGTTAATATTAAAAGTAAAACAAGCCTCGGGAGCGGTGCGCGTGTCAAGGTGTTTTGTTTTTCAATTTTTTTGTTGCCTGATTATGAATTCTATATGGGTGTGTGTAGTGTGTGTGCATTCTGGAGTACAGGTGTATGCGTAATCAAATGTCTTTTGGTCTTGCGTCTATGACGCTCAACATGTAACGAAGAACGCAACCCTCCAAGTGGTCCAGAGCCAAACACACGGCTGAATCTGCTAGCGAATATTACAGAACCCAGAAGTACATGATAAACACTAGGAATATGATGCCAACGGCTGCCGCCTTCACGTACATGGACTTGCGGTTGAGCAGTTTGGCGTCCTTCTTGTACTTTTGCGACATCATAGACAAGTTCTGGGTCTTCGTATCGAGTTCTGAAAGGGGAAAAAGTTCATAATGAGAGAGCGATGTTTAGTCCTAGGTTGTTTAAATATCTCTGTTCGAGTCAAAATAGTCGTAGAGTGGGTGCTAAACGCATAGCTTATCTGACAGTTACCTGCCAGTACAGTGCCACGTTGAAGCACGTCGTCTATGTTTTGGACCATGATGCGCTGCACATCCTGCAGTTGTGTGTTGATGCTGCTGATGTTTCGTCTGCGGTCTGTCAACTGCTTTTTCGCCTTCTGTATGTACACGTCAAACTCTATGAATGCATACGGCCGCGTCACTGAATTGACTCGCCGGCCATAGTTTGCATGAAACTCCTGAGCCAGGTCCTCAAGGTAATTAAAGGCCAGTCGCTTCGAGTACATTTTGTCCACCATTACCAGGTAGCAGACGTCGTTCTCGATTAGGTAGCTGCAGGGAAAGATTTTGAATCATTTAATTGGCCTTCACATTGCATTCGTTTTTTCGGCAGCAAGCATTTCATTAAGTTCACATGTAATTGCGTGGATAAATCACAAGTTTATGTAGCTTATGAAATTCCATCTTTACCGATAGCTGATATAAAATCTTTTATTGGAGAAATCCAACATGATTATGCTTATGGATTTAGAGATTGCTGAATAAATGCCAAAATAACGCAGCTCTTTCAGGAATTGTTGGCTACTTACTGGAATAGGTATGGTCCTGTCTCGATGCTGCTCCGGGCTGGGGAGTGTGTGCCGAGCTTGCGGAAGAGCATCTTGGCCTGATTTTGATAATCCAGTATGCTGCGGCCGCTCTGAAAGTGAAAGTGCCTGAGTTGCGGAAGCGAAACGATTTTGAAGGTGATGGTGGCTACCTGCTCGTCATCCTGCATGGTACCCACTAGAGGGAGCCCGTCGATGACCCTGGCTATCATGGTCAGCAGCGCCATGATCCTGGTTACGATTATCTGTGGAATTGGTTTTCAATAGTCTTGGCCACGGCTGCACTTTGCCGCTGCCTCCTCCCGTTGGTCGCTACTTATTTACGATGTGGCTCCAATTCAGTCCAGTCCAATGGGTGAAGTTTGAGTCAGGGCGTCCCAGTCTTCGCTCGATTTTACAACTCAGCTGATCGCAGGGTGTATTCTGCACTGGTCCTCCGATTTCCCGTTTTACTGAATGGACTCTTGGCAAATTAGCCCCTGGTACGTCGTTCGATGGCACCACAAAACTATGTTGCAACGTCGCGGGCGGCGGGCGGAATGGATGGGATTGGGGGTATCTGTGGATGTTTGTCCAAATATACCAGCCAAAATACCAATACCACGTCATCGGTGTGACCACGATAATATACCGCAGATGTTAAAAAAGACTAAAAATCCTGAACGGTCACCCTAATGGAAAAACATACCAGCTTGTAGACGTCTCATTTAAAATATATGAACATTTTTTAACCCTCTTATGTACTGCAATTAAATTAAGTTGTTCTCGTTTTTAGGGTAAATTTTGAAATTCTGTGTTTTTCTTAAGGTTTTCCAAAATCCTTTCTCTGTCTGGTCATATTGTTCGCAATTGAAACCCTAATTTAATATGGCATAACTTTCATGTGGTTTATTTCTCTATAATGTAGTAGAGGACAATTTTGTATTTTAGACCTTAAAGAAGCATAGCTCTAAAGAATTGAGGTTTAAATTTCATTACGTTGGATGAATTCAATATAGCCCACAAGTTATGTGCAGTATTTCCCTTTTTTGTTGCAATAAAATTGTAAATCTTTAAGGACGGTGCGAGTCCTGAATGGGAATGTCGAACCTTGAACCTCGATACACGTTAAGAAAAGTAGTCATTCCTGTTTGTTATTTGAATTGTTAACCAACATAAATTGGAATCCCTGGCATGGCGTACTAATTTCGAGTGTCAACTGCTCCAGACGGTTACGCAACGCTTTTAAATTCACTGGCGCTGATGGAGGAAGTGCACCCGAACCGATTGAATTGCTCAGATGCTTCCTCGACAGCGGGCTGCCCAAAAGTCGGTGACCAATGTAAGCCCAACAGGTTTCGCCCGTAGTAGCCATCCATAGTTTTCCACATCCACGTCCCATTTTTGGCCCGAAAAGGAAAAGTGGTTCACCCGCGAAACCGGACTTCAAGCAGGGCTGGGCAATTAAACTACTTGTGGTACTAGGAGGTGCGTAAAAAGTTTTAGGCACTGAACAAATTTGAAGTAAATATTTGCATTTTAAAATACTACTACTTCAAAATTCTGGGGATGGTCGTTTTCATGTTTATGTGGGGGGAATATTTAACATTTTAAATTAAAGTAATAATTAGGTATGAAAATCATGTTTAGTTCTTGGTAGAATCCTCCGTTGCTAAAATTGACTATTCGGAGAGTCCACCTACCCTTATTTTTCACCGTGTATCGGTTCATCCACCGCCGAACGCGCGCGCTTCCGTTGTGTTGGATTTCGCCGCCTTCCTCTTTCCTATGGAAGGAGGGAGATATATAAGAGGCTGCTCCGCCCAGAGACTTCACAATATAAAGTCAGTCATGGTTGGGTCACATCGTGCAACATTGCTAAGTCTACTATTGCACATCCTGTGCAATGAGCTAGCCGGCCAGCAGGTCCTTCTCGCGCGTCCCCAGAGATCCCTTTTCGAATCTCCGCTGAACCACGTGGAGCACCTACCTCCCTTGGGCTGGAATAGTGTGGGCGGCGGATTTGGAGCTGGCGAGTGGGCCTACAGTCCCGTTGGCCTAGGCCACATGAGCAAAGATGAACTGCTGACCCTACTAGAAGCCTGGAAGGAGGTGGAACAGGAATCGGCTACGACGACCACAGCGCCGCCAGCGGAGACCACCACACGCAGAACACCTCCTTCGCCGCCGCCACCTCCTCCACCACGCCCCATTCCCATACCAATTTCCATTCCCATGCCTGCTCCGGCTCTTCCATCTTTTTCCCAATCGCCTTCCGGAACCCCCATTACCGTCCAGCTCCCAGCTTTTGTGCCTGTACGCCTGGCTGCCGTGTTTACTCCGCCTTCCGGTGGAGCTGATGCGGAAGGAGCTGATGATGGTGCTCCGCCTGCTCCCGAAAGCGGAGATGCTGGAGGAGATGACATGGTCTCCGATGACGTGCCAGATGACGATGCCACTCCTCGTCTGTTTCGTTTTATGCCCATGCCAGTGGTTCGAGCCAGAGCCCACTCCCATTCACAGCCCAGGCAGCAGTTCGTGGTGAGGAACACCCTGGACAGCGTAGATGCGGGCACTGCTCCGGTCAGACAACAGGTTAAGCCGGAAGTCAAGCCCAAAGCGAGTGCTTATGCAGCTCCTCTGTCCATTCCCAAAGTTCCTAGCCACCCAGCTCCCATTTTCCGATCCAGGTAAGCAGAAACCAAAGCGACTGGAATCACCCAGCTTATTCCCGGAAGTCGCCCTAGATTTGGCATGCCTCCGCATCTGGCCAATGCACGCTTCGAACTGGTGCCCTCCTCACAAGTCATCGGCGACTGGCGGGAGTGATCCTGTACCTCAACTACATGATTCCATTACCAAAAGAGAAGAGTTCCCACCAAGGAACCAAGCAACTTCCGAAGGAGGCTTTCATGCTGGATTATCCCCACTGCCTTTTATACTTTATTGTAACATATTTTTTGTTTGTCCAAAATACAATATGCAATTAGTCATAGGTTAACAACTTACCTTCTTATTAATGTTAATGTTTTTTAATTTAGGCGAACTAGCCAAGTAACCTCGTTGCTTTTAAGGCTACATTTTAATATGATCATTAAGACTTATATATATTTCGTTTTTAAAACCAACACTATTTCTATTCAAACATATAGTACTTAGCGAAAGAAAGCTTGGGAGTATTGTGGAGGGATATTCTCTTCCTCTAAAATTAACAATCAATTCAATCACGTAGTTTCGCTTTAACACATCGACTTCGGAACATTATAAAACATACCTATATAATTATCATCACAGTTCTTATAAAACTTCCAGTCAAAACAGGGACAGAAATCTCTAGCAAAAAAAAAAGTATATATAAATTGATGTACAAAAAATTCCTAAGATGTTTGGTTCCGAATCCTTTGATGCTCTCTGCGGCGTGGGGGTCCCGCGTCCGAACTTCCAGCGGCTGATTGCATACGTAGAGCCCAACGAAGGTGGCCAGGAGGAAAAACTGGAGATGCAGGTATGGCACCGGCGGAAACAAAACTCCGCCAGTGCATCTTCGATCAGCGAGACGCGCATGTGCTGTCCAGAGGCCTTTGTGCGCGCCACCGTTGTAGAGGTGAATCCGCAGACAGGACAACCAATGACCCGGGGTCTCACTTTCCACCGTAGTCTGTGTCCCACAGACCTGCTGCCTCACCCATCACTCAGCCGGCGGTCTAAGGTCATGGACATCTGTCAGGAGCGGCTGAACCAGGAGAAGTGCCCTACGCTAGACAAGAAACCAACCATCACCAAGCTGGAGGTTATCTGGCAGTGTCCGGACCGATCCCTTCAAAGAGTACGTGCTCAAATGGCTTTCAGTTGCAAAGAGTTGGAGAAGGCTTTGAATTCCATCCAGGTGCACCACAAGGCTCTGCAGACGGAGGAGGAGCCGAGAAAACTGACCCTGGACAAGGCTACCTCCGTGGGCGGCTTCTCAATTATCCGAAATAGGTACGCCAAGGAACATCTGTTAAAAAGTAAAGCCTATACCAGAAGAGCCAGCTGTGTACAGGAACACTCAAGGCCTCCCAGCACGGAGGTCCGTTCAAACCTGCCTGCTTTCGATGTGGAGCTCAGACTATTGCTGACCCAGTACGGGGTGTCTGCCGGCCAGCTGACCAAAATGCTGCAGCGGTTCGTCATAAAAGAGCTGCCCGGTGACCAGGCAGGGACTCCGTCCTTGAACATACGGGAGACGGAGCAGAATGCCAGGAGCAGGAGAAAAATTCAGCGATTTAGCGAGCCCAGTAGCGACAAAGATAAAGATGTATCGGGCTACTCTGGCGACGATGACAGTTATGCAACAATCACCGTCGGTAAGGATGTAGAACACCAGGTTGTGGGAAATGCGGAGTTAGTAGCTCCCAATCGCTCACTGAGCTCCAGCCTAGCCACGGATTCCCAGGAGATCAACGAGCTGTCCACGGCGGCAGGCCTAACGGCTGCCTTTGTCCGACGGCATAAGTGCTTCCAGCTGCTGGCCAGGCAGTCCAGGAGCCCTTCTCCGCCCTAGCCAAGTCCATGGATGTAATTGTCAGTTATAAATTATTGAGTGAATTAGTGTAATTAAAGTCTTGTTCATGAGAGCAATCTGGCTTCAAAGGCATCCGATGACATTGTTCTTGTCATTTTCAATTTATCTAAGTTCACCACACTATTACATTTGCAACAATCGATTATCGATAACAACCTCAGCTGTTCGATCTCTGCCACGCTCACCAACACTGGATCCCATTTCCCAACATTGCCACACCGTCGGTGAAAATAAGAACACGTCGAGATTTGTAAATGGATTATCCGCGAAAATAAAGACGTAAAAGGGTGAAGCTTTGGTGGCAAAACACAGTGAAGCAAGTGCAGGGAAATTTAGAAGAAGCCCCAAGTTCGAGTCGCCGGAAATCCGCACCTCCTGCTTGCTCTACGTGAAAATCTCCCGACTTGGCAACCTCGCCGTTTTCCCGCCTTTTTCTATGGCGAGTATGGATATAAGTTAATAATGATATTAATATATCTAAATTTAATCCCTTCCCGTGGTCGTGGGTAATCGCAGCGGTGTTTGTTCTTTTTTGTCGCTTAAATTATTGTTGTGCTCTGCTTCCAGGTGGGTGTATCTCGCACACACACACATAAACACGCGCGCGCACACATCGATAACTAGGCCTATCGTTCTTGGGTATCGGCAGGCGTTATTATCGATATGATATGCCCCAAGTCGTTTCGGCGGGAAACTATATTATTTATATAATTTAATGTAATATTTATACGATAATTAGTTACATGTCCATGAGGAGCGAAGCGGGAAGAGCAGCGCACACCGGCAGCCACTAGGAAAAGTCAGCGAGAAGTCCTCACCGCCCACAGCAACGTTTCGGTTTCCAATACCATACCGCCTGTGCCTGTGCCGTGGTGGAAAAGCCAGCCGGGAAAACAGCCGCAGCCATGAGTGAGCCCGAGCCGCAGGAGCTGGGCGCCGAGGTGGTCAGCGGATCGGTGGCGACCAGCGACGATGGCCAGGAGATGACCAAGGCCAAGTACACGAACCTGTGCCGCGAGCTCAACATGGACCGCCAGACGGAGCTGCAGGGCTACCAAATGTACCATGAGGTGTCCCAGAGGTGCTCCTTGGAGGTGAGTGGCGGGGAGAACAGGAAGAAGACCCATGGACGAAACTAACTTTACCACCTTCCTCTTCTTACAGGGCGAGTCAATTCACTGGCTGTGTTGTGCCTTGTACGCCGCCTGCCGAAGGTCCAGCACGCCCACAGTGATTGGCCAGGACGCGGTAGTCAGGGGCAACTGCGTATCCTTGAATAATTTGCTGCGCTGCTGCCAGATGAGGTGGGTTTGGGCTGTGCCAGCTTCTCCAGCATTCAACACCCTGCCTTAACCCTTTTTCCAATCATAATCCATCAGCATATATGACTTCAAGACAAAGATCAAGCAGTGGTGCGACATGGCCAACCTGCCACAGGAGTTTGTCAATGAGATCGAGGTCCTGGACCGCAAGTTCAGCATCACATTCACCCTGTACAAGCGTTTCCGCACCATTTTCGACAAGATATTTTCGTGTCCGCCCAACGAAAAGAAACACTCGAAGTACATGTGCGTATATCATCCTGTGTGCCCCGATCCTATCACTTTAAAGTCTCCTTTTTGAAACAGCTCTCTGCATGGTAACCATGCCCATGGCAAGTGCTCATATATAAAGCTGGACGACATCTGCTGGCGCTTGTTTCTCTGCGCAAAGAACCAGAAGCCTAGCAACACCGTGGACCTGGTTACCTCCTTTAACCTAATGATCTGCTGCATCGATGTGATATACAACAACGTGCTGGCCGAGAAGCGCACCGATCTCATCAACCAAAAGTTCGAGGGTCTGCCGAGCAACTGGATGGAGCTGGACTTTCGTCACAAGCCGCACTGCATTTTGGCTTACTTCTGTGACATGACTGAAGAGGCAAAGGCCATGAAGGCCACCACCTTCCGGCAGATCATGTCGAGCTTTTTTCAGACTTCGGTGGGTGTGATACACTGTCTTTGCGCCTTCTTAAGTCGTATAATTATCCTGTTTCTATATTGCATAGACCATCTACGGCAGTAAGGACACAATGCTGGGCCTGCTGGCCAACGAGAACTTCGAACGAAACCTCAAGTCTCTCAACATTAGCTATGAGCAATACGTCCTGAGTGTGGGCGAGTTCGACGAGCGCATCCTAAGTGCCTATGATGCTGGAGACCACACCGGCCTCAGCGACCAGTCCCTGCGTCCGCCAGTCACCCCGCTCACCCGCAAGCAAGACTTGCCTGCTCAGCCGTTGATGGCTGGCGACAAATTCGAGCCAGTCCGCAACGCCACTAACAACGTAAAGCAGCTAAGCGCCTTCGGACGGATTACCGAACCCACGGACTTCGTCAAGTATGTGAGCCGGGGACTCGATTCTTGGTTATTGAGTTTTGAGTTCCTCGGGAATAATTTCATCTACAGAAAAAGGGAAAGCAGTTTTCTTTCCCTTATTTGTATGCTAATTTACTTTATATTTTTCATTTATATGAACGCAAAGTATGCCTTAATGCGTTAATGATCAATTTATTCCAATGAGTACAAATGTTTGTACCCGTTGTAGGCTTAAAGAGTATATTGTATTCGTTGAAAAGTATATAGCAGTTAGCAGTAAGATCAGATGCCGATTCGATCTAGCTATGTCCATCTGCCTGTCCGTCCGTATAAACATATAGATTTAAGAAACCATAAGAGTTAAAGATTCGGGGCTTAACATGCAATTTCTAGTGGTGCCAACGCAGTATCAGACGAGTGCCAGGCACAGTTCAAGTTATAATTAAAGTTCACTTATATTGTCAATCCGTATTAACTATAGCCGTATGAAGTATTTTAGGATCGGTAACAATAACAGGGTAACAAGTAAAGTAAATCTGGAAGTCGAGAGGCACTCGAGAAAGCGGTACTTCTTGCTTACTTAAAAATGACTTTTAAATCGAACTAGGGTAAATAGTAATAATAATATAGTAATGAAATACTACTTTGTCAAACTGCATATATAGCACACTATATAATACGTTCTCTTTTTTTAGGCAAGCTGGCGAAGAGGTGATAGCCAAGCTGCTAAACATCATAGAAGAGATTAAGCAGAAATTTCTCGCCAAGTATCCGTCTACGGAGGCAAGGAGCCGTTTCCGACTGGCTAAGTCCTTCTACTTCTACCTGCTCGATCAGATCCTGCAGGCGGAAATCCGAAACAAGCCCGACATCGATCTCAAGCGATTGCTAGTACAGAAGATTTCGTTGGACATCTTTAACATCACGCTGATGGCCTGCTGCGTGGAGCTGGTGCTGGAGGCCTACGAGACGGAGCTCAAGTTTCCGTGGGTGCTCGACTGTTTCAGTATTAGTGCGTTCGAGTTCCAGAAGATTATCGAGATCGTGGTGCGACATGGCTCGCACGAGGGCTGTCTGAACCGTTCGTTGATTAAGCATCTTAACTCCATCGAGGAGACGTGTCTGGAGCGGCTGGCCTGGGCGCGGGACTCGACAGTCTGGGATATGATCGCCTCCGCCCCGCCTCCGCTGCCCACGTCGCTCGTGGTCAACCGCGACCGCTCCGCCGGCGCTTTGCAGATTTTCCTGCGCAAGGTGTACCTGCTTGGCTGGCTACGCATTCAAAAACTTTGCTCGGAACTGGAACTCTGCGATAAGACGCCTGAGTGCATCTGGCACATCTTCGAGCACTCTATTACCCACAAGACGGACTTGATGAAGGACCGCCACCTCGATCAAAATATCATGTGTGCAATATATATCTACATTAGAGTGAGTAGCACTGTCTCTGTCTGATTCGCTGGCTTATATAATAGAAGCATAGATTTAAAGCAGAACTTTTAATAATCCAAATGAAGTTTTTCGTGAAATGAGAGTTAAATCAAACACAAAATGAAAAAACTTTTTTAAAAGAACACTTCATTCATGCTTAGCCAAAAATCCTCCAATTTGTTTACCATGTTACCCATCCAATCCTACCCCACAGGTAAAGCGTATGGAGGACCCCAAGTTCAGTGACATTATGCGGGCATATCGCAACCAGCCGCAGGCGGTAAACAGCGTCTACCGCGAGGTGTTTATTGAATTCAACGATGACGGCGAACCAAAGGTGAAGGACATCATTCAGTTCTATAACAACATATATGTGCCGAAGATCCGACAATTCGCCATCGAATACCTGAACGTAACACCGGACGTGAGTGGCCGGACCTCGGACCTGCTGCTCTCCCCGCACCCGAAGGAACGGGCCGCCCAGCCCAAGAAGGTTACCCAGAACCACTCTCTCTTCGTGTCGCAGATGCCTAAGAACGAGATCCAGCAGTCGCCCAACCAAATGGTCTACAGGTTCTACCACAGTCCCGCTAAGGTAGCTAAGCATTTACCACAATTTTAATTGTGGAATAGAGAGGAGATCAGCAGATCAGTTACCAATTCTTATGGTCTGCTGGTTTGCTTGCACTTCAGTTTTACAGTCATTTCTATTGATTAATCCTAATTTGTTCTCTATTCCCACAGGACCTCCAGCTAATGAACGAAAAGGTACGCGGGGGCAAGCGCATGCTCAGCTTCGGGGACGAGCCCGGATTGGGTGGTATTACGGAGACGAAGCGCCTGGTGCGAGAATTGCCGCCGCACCTTAGCCAGATTAAGGCTGTGATGGACGACCGGGAACTGCAGACTGCTGTGCCGGCGGAGGGGAGCGGCCAGGACGCAGGGGGAGAACACGAGACATAAACACGGGGCTTTAGGGGCAGCTTAGACTTAAGGCTATTACAACACAAAAAACACAAAAACTAAACAAATCCGTCGCCGAAGGCCACTCTTTTTACACGCTGGCTCCTCCGGCGCAAGTTCGACTATTTTATGATTGTTTTTTTTTAATTAATAACTCTTAGTATGACATTTTTATTTAAAACCAACCACAACCAATCGTACGCATCTCTTTTGTAGTTTGTTCAACGCCAACCAGCCAGAATTCATACGCTAACCATACAATACATGTAAACAACCAATACTTGAAAGGAATTTTAGTAAATACCTGAACACACACATCCATCGGTCGCAGCTCCTTTCTATCCATTCCGGAAACCCGGGGATCAGGATCTAGGTAGGCCGCGGTCAATAACAAATAAAATTAAGGCAGTCCACATTATATATACAAACATATATACAAATACACTTTTAAAAAATTGATATTGATTGAATTGCTTTCTGACAGGGACCGCTACATTCAACGAATGAACATGTTGGCCCCATAATTTTGGCTCCGTGTGTACATAAACATTTTACCTAACCACCTACGGATTTTTCTGTTCGCCTGGTACTTGAAATCGAAAATTACCCGACAAATATATTCAAACCATAAAAATTTTACGTTTCATAGCAAATTTTTTTGATTTCCGTCACCAGGCGAACATAATCCGTAGCAAGTGGCTGCTGGGACTTAAAGTTTAAGAAATTCTGGAAAACAACCGTTATTTGGCCAAAGCTCATAGAGATGCCCATTTCACCTAACCACCTACGGATTTTTCTGTTCGCCTGGTACTTGAAGATAATCAAAATCCCATACAATCAAAGTCAATAGAAATAACAATCCAAAATACCTTGTTTGCTCGTCGAGAAAATGGTCAGATTTCTTAATTTCAGACACCAGGCGAACATAAACGTTTAGTAGGTGTAAAACGATCAGCTGATTAGCTTTTTCCAAGCTTACTTAGAGATGCTCTCGTGATTTCCTCCCTTTGGCACGGCCTAAGCAAATACATAGGATTTAACTGTTATTTCGTGCATATCGTGACAAGCTCGTGAAACAGCCATAATTGCTCATCTCTAGTCTGCGTTTGGCTCACAACTAACGGTTCTTTCCCATGGAGATCAGATCCTATTGGTCAGTGGGAGGAGGGGAAATATGCAAAGGGCCGCCATCTTGAAAATGAACAGCTGTTTAAGTTCACTTTTGGCTACCAGCTGTCACTTGCTAAGTTTTCTGTTTGCCTGGTGTCTGAGAACCATAAATCTAGCATTTTGACTGAAAAAATGTTACGAAGCCTTTCAATTTGTTGAAGTAAACTAGCAATTTTTCAATTTCAAACACCAGGTGAACAGGAAAATGCGTAGGTGGCCGACTATTAGTTTTTAAGGCTTTACTAGAGGTGTGCCATTTCAAAATATGTAAGACCTTTTGCTGCTGACCAAGCGACAGCCCACCTCTAGTCGGCATACACTAAACTAACGGTTCTCTTCCATTGAGAAAATGTTAGCTCCCACCAGTCACTTGCTACGGATTATGTTGGCCTGGTGTCAAAGATCAAAAAATAAAATTTCAGCCTTATAAAAATGTCAATTCATAGAAATCATAAAACGAAAATACCTTATTTGCTCCTCGAGAAAATGGTCAGATTTCTTGATTTCTTAATTTCAGACACCAGGCGAACATAGACGTCTAGTAGGTGTAAAACGATCAGCTGATTAGCTTAATTCAAGTTTACTTAGAGATGCTCCAGTGATTTCTTCCATTTGGCACGGCCTAAGCAAATTCATAGGACTTAACTGTTACTTCGTACATATCGTGACAAGTTCGTGACAAGATCGCGACAAGCTCGTGACAACCTGTTGCCACGGCCATGGTTGCTCATCTCTGGTCTGCGTTTGGCTCGCAACTAACTGTTCTTTCCAATGGTCATCAATTCCTATTGGTCAGTGGGGGGAGGGGAAATAGGTAAAGGTTCGCCATCTTGAAAATGAACAGTTATGCAAGTTCACTTGCTAAAAGTACCAGCTGCATCTTGCTAAGTTTTCTGTTTGCCTGGTGTCTGAGAGCCACATACCCAGCATTTTTACTGGAAAAATGTTACGTTATGTTGAAGTAAATGGGCGATTTGTTCAATTTTAAACACCAGGTAAGCAGGAGAAATAATAGGTGGCCAACGATCAGTTTGTAAGGCTTTGCTAATTCTAGGCTAACAATCCCAAACACTTTAAGAAAAATTAATTTTTAACTAATTTTTGCTTCCCACAAAATCCACAAATCCTCAAAATCATGTAATTCGATAAAGAAGGAAAGACAACAATTTGTAAATTAATTTTATTTATGGATCCTTTGGCTGCCCAGTGGGTTACGTGATGGTTGGGTGTTTCTATGTGTCCAACCGGAGTGTGCTCGTGATGAAAGCCAGGGCGCAGCGCTGTTGTGTGGTCACTTCTGCCTGAAGTCGCTGCTCCAGCAGAGGACTGCAGGTGAATAGCGGCGCCGACTGCTCGGGGACAACGCGATATGCGACTCGCCGCCACGTGGCCCGCACCTGCTCCAGTCGGTCCTCCTCAAGCGACTCCCGCATCGCCGGCAGATCCGAGCTCATTGCCAGCGTCAGCAGGTGGGCAATCGCCAGGCAGAGCTGCTGCTGCAGAGCATCCCGGTGATTGTACTCCTGGAAGCTGTCCAGCGCATTGGAGCGCTCCAGCCCCTCCAGGAGGGAGCGCCAGACCAGCTGAAGATGGGAGCCCAGATCCTCACGATGCACCACCTGCAGCAGCACTCCGGCGGCGTTGGTGCGCACCTTAAAGTTGGTGTGCTGCGCCACCAGTTGACTCAGAGCGGGGAAGAGGATCCCAGCCAGGTGGCTGCTGGCAAGGAAGGCCCTGTGCTTCACTAGGTTTCCGATGGCATGGCAGGCGTTCCACTTTACTTTGGCGGTGCCCGAGGACCTTACGCAGTCCAGCAGCTTGGACATGGCTAGCTGCATCTGGTCACAGTTCTCCGATGGCTGGAGCTGCAGGATCTGGAGTAGGTTCCCCAAAGCGCGCACCGCATTGGCCCTGACCTTGTCGTTATCACCGCAGCTTTTCATTGCCGCCTGGATGAGGCGTCCCAAAAGTTCAGCGGAAATCCTTTCGGTCGAGTTTGGAATGCCGGCCACCAAGGCGTCACTAATGTTTCCAAGCGCCCAGGCGGCTTTGATCCTTACGACCAATTGGGAGTCCCCTATGATGCGCAAGGTCAACTCCGCTGCATTCTCCAGAAATCCCAGATCTGTCTTCAACGAAGGTTGCAGCACGTAGACGGCCATTGCCCGCAGAGCTGCTCCCCTGACCAGCCCCTCTTCATGGTCGTCGCTGGCACATCCGCTCAGAAAGGCTAGCAGCGCGGTCCTCTGACCATCCGATAGTCTCTCAAAGCTAAAAGCTCCCATGTTGGACAGGGCGTCGCAAAGTGCGCATTTCAGGGAGAACCCGGCGGCATCGTAGGCTCCATACGTGGCGGGCAACAGGGTTAGCCAGAAGGATATCTGTAACTCCCTTTCTGACGGCTCCGGCAGTAGTCTTCCCAGCTGGTACCCGACCGAGTCCAGGCAGCGTGCGGCATACAGCTTCACATCTGAAGCTGGATCACACAATCCGGCGGAGATTACCCTTGCCAAACGGGCCTGATGTCCTCGGAGTAGGCCAATATGCGTGGCCATTGCCTGAAGCACCTGAAAACACTCGAGGCGCACGGTGGCTGGAGTTCCGGGACCCTCCAAATACCGAAGCACCTGCCTCAGCAGCCAGGAATTGCGCGGAATGGATGGCGACACGGTGTGGACGGGACTAACATCATTTTTCTGCGCGTGACCCTCCTCCTCCTCCTCGAGTTCCACCTCCGCATCCGAGTCGCAAAGCTCCTGGTACTCCTGGACCGCGTTTGCCTGTTCTAATTGAATGTTTCTATGGCTGGGGGAAAGTCCCACCGAGCTGGCAATTTCCGGCGTAAGTTTAGCCGTGCCCACCAGCATTTCCATGACCAGCAAAGCGGACACGGCTACCTGAGGGTCTGCACTCTTGGCCAGCTTCTTGACATGGCCCACAAACCCGTAGACAAATCCCATTTCAAGCTGGTCGAAGGGCGTGGCTTGTACCAAAACGGCCAGACACTTGAGACACTGCGTTAGCACGGGCGGCGTATACTCCCGCTCGAGGATGAGACTCAAGGTGCGATATGCGGCGAACACGGAGCTGGCCAGGCTGACAGCGAACGGCGTGAAGTTACTGGGTCCGCGCGAGCAGGCCTGGCTGAGGAACATCTTCGATCCGTAAAGCAGCTGGGAACCCAGCTGCAAAGCCAGGGCACGACAACGGGAATTGGTGTCCCTCTGACCGATTAGTAGCAGGTGACGACTGCCACCAGAGTCTCCATAGGGGAACAGGACGTGCCAGTAGCCATACAACGAGCGTCGGGGCAATTGGTTGGCCAGGGCTCCCAGCAAGTGTAGAGCGGATATTCTCACCCTGGCCTGCTGCTGTCTTAGGTGCTTTGCTTCTGTCTGCTGATCCGAATCGGAGGGCAGGCAATTCTCGGCCGAGTCTCCAGTCAAGCATCCGTAATCCTGGTTACCCATCAGCAGAACACGATCTCGCGGATCGGCCTCTGGGGGTTCACTGACTCCCTGGTTTCGTTGCTTGGCCAACGATCGCATCTTTCGCACCTTGTTCTTTCGGCCGCAGGAGCGAGAATGCTGAGCGGGCGGGTGCTCCGGCTCGTCCTTCTCCTGCCCATAGTCAGCTGACTGCTGGGCGGGTGGCAATTTTCGGGGCTTAACTAGGGATTCCGCTTCAGCTCCGTACTGTAGGTAGCACTGCACAAGCCCCATCACCTCAGGAAGCCGTTGAGTCGCGTAGTCGGGCTGCCTGGTTACCAGCTTCTGGAGCAGATCCAGGCTGCGCGCCAACAGCAGGGGCAGCTGCTCATCCTTGGCGGTCAGCCAGCAGCCCTCAAAGTGCATGTGTATGAGAGAGTTGGCCAGGTTCCGGCTGTGACCACTCTCCTCCTGAGACTCCTCTAGCTCAGCTAACACATGTTCCTGGCACTGCAAAAGCAACAGGGCTGCGTCTATATCTTTTACTTGGGTTAATGCGGTCAATCTGGGCCAGAATTCTGCCAGCTTCTCTTTGGGCGTCGATTTGAGCAGGGTCAGCAGCAAATTGAGGGCCTCGGCGGACTGCTCTTGCTGTCCTTCCGTCATTAGCTCGTTTACCAGCAGGTGGGATCTTACCAGGATTATCTTTCTGGCGAGGACTAGCTCGTTGAGCCACAGCTGCCAGAGGCGCTCGAGGTGCCCTCTCGCTCGTACCTCCACGATTATCTGCCGCAAACGATCAGCCGCCACGCCCACTGGAATGCCCAGCTGGTGGTGCAGCTCCCGGATGAGCTGCAAGTGCGCCTGGCGTTGCTCCTCCCGCTGCTCCGCTCCAGATTCCGCCTCCAGAAGCTTCTGGTGTAGATCCATTTTCATCAGTGTGGCGTATTTTATACCGTTCTTACTTTTTTCAAATACACCATAAATACCAACTAACAGGGCCGTTTTTGGGCCGCCCAACCCCAGTGCCCTGTTGTCAGCGTTTACTAACACGCCATCTATAACAGCCCTGCGAAACAGAGAAATATACTTTTTATACCAAATACTAAATATCGAAAATACCAAGTAACGAGACCAACTCGGAATTTTTACATCTCCTTTACATTTACATATTGCCGTGTTATAAAGCCTAGTACTCACATCTACGAAAGACGCGAGCGAGAAGCAAACACGCGGCTAACGCTTTTCGTCGGGTCTGTTTTTCAGCGCGGTACTCAGATGTGTTAAGGAAATACCAGAAAAAAAACCAGATTTAGCGAGTAAATTTCGATGAACGCTGTTAGCCGCTAGCCAAAGAATAAGAAAATTAATCTTTGGCGCTCGTGCAAAAGCGATGTGGAATTTAAAAATTAAAAATGGAAGGAACATGGTACAATTACTCCTGTCGGCTGCCTAATCGTTCGGCTTTCAGTCCGTTAACGTGTTTCAGCGATATTGGAATAGCCCTTTCACTTGCACGCATTGCGAGTACCGATAACGGACTAAATTGCGCCGACAGGACTACCTTGTATAGTTATACCATGGGATATAGACGATCCCCAAAAGTAACGGATCTTAGTCTTAAAAAAAGATCGAAACGAAATTCAAGATATTGTTCGAATTGTCTTGTTGCCTATCCATCGAATAGCTAAGAAAAACTATACTTATTGAAATTAAAAATCATTAATTAATTATCTCCGTTTCATAAGTTCGCAGTGTTTTCAATATTAAAATTATATACTAGTAAAGACTAGTTCCCCCAAAACAAGTTCCTCGCCGCTCTTATTCCCTAGGAACTTGAATACAATTTAAAAGAAAATGTATTTCGATTTTGGCGCTCCTTGCCTGCATTTTTGGTAAGGCCTAGCACACCTACTTATGACGCATTACTTAAAACATGTTATTTATTTGTAGTTTGTATGTCTAGATTATCGATGTAGTACACGCACAAATAAACACTTTATCCTACATTATTCAAAAAAGTTCGGTAAAAAAGGTGATATACCAATTATACTTTACTTTCTGTTCCTGTTCCTCAATTTTTCTTCCTTAAGTTTCCTTGTTCTTACTCTTAACTACATTTATCAGTACGTAGTAGTGCTAAAAATGTTATTCCTTACACCTAGCCAAAAAAATAGTGACAATGATGGATTTAAGGAATAAAATACAATGTACAAAGCAGTCGAAGCCCGGATTTTCTAATAAAAATAAAGTGGGGGTGGGGAAACAACGTTTTCTATGGGGCGGGTTACTTTGGGAGTGGGTTGAAAAGGGGCATGGGCATAACATCAACATCACTTTGGCATAAATAGTCTTTTTGTGTTGCTGGATTATCCTGGAGACATAAGCTTTTAGATGTTGCGGTTTCGCTGATTGCCGCCTCGCTGGTTGCGATTGTTGCCACCTGCTCCCCCGCCCGGAAAATGTCCTCCTCTGCCTCCCCCATTATTGTTATTGTTTCCATTGTTGAAGTTCTTGAAAGGCATGCCCATGTTACCAATGTTGCCCATGGAATTCATGTTGCCCATTCCGCCAACTCCTCCTCCATTGTTGCCTGCTCCGCCGGCAAATGGGTTAAAGGGATTGCCATTAGGCACAGGTCCTCCTCCTTGGTTTAATCCTCCTAGGTTTCCTCCATTGCCTCCTGGCGGCATACCCAGCAATCCAGCTCGCGGTGGTGGTTGATTAAATTGGGGTCCCAGATTGCCCATTTGCATCATCATTCCGGACATGCGTAGCAGTCGAATATTTGGCGGCGGTACCCTTAACATCTGGGCCAGATTTGGAGGAGGTTGCGATAGATTGGGCAGAACCACTCCTACTCCTGCTGCTGCTACAGGTACTCCACCAGCATTATTCTCCTCGGGCATCTGCACCACCTGACCATTATCATCCACGAATATGAAGAGCTTAGCAAAGATTTGCTGCAACGTTGGGTTGTTCACTATAAAGCTGACATCAAAAATTTTTTGAGCGCCCTCGGGTAGCTGATGAAATTTTTTTAGCTCGGTAAAGACCAACGCTAGTTGTTGATTTACCATTATCTTATTGTTGCTGCCCAGATTCTTGTACCAGTTTGAGCTTTGCATGAGGCTGCGGATTTCAGATATTTGTTTACTGCCACCAGTGGCATTGGTTGTGGTAGGTGTCGGGTTCGCCGTACTCGCAGCTGCTTGAGTTTGAGCCTGAAGATGGGCTCGCCGAGGATCGCGACGTGGATCTGTCCGTACCGGAGGCTTTTCAATCTGTAGATTCGGAGGCGGTACGCTCATCGATGGCGGTGGGACACTCATTGATGGTAAATTGGCAAACGTCGGGGGTGGAGAACTGGGCGTGGTATCACGTACATTGGTCTCAGACTCCGGCGAGGCTATGCTCGCCCCGGAACGTCCAAAGGAGTCACTCGATAACGAGCCCGCTCCCGCTAATCCCATCGATCCCATGGTTGCACTATTGTCCGGCATTTCGGGTAAACCCAGAATACGACGCATGCGAGGATCCCGTAGATCACGCTGCTCCTTATGCATAGCGCTGGCCCTGATTTGAGCATAGCTGGCTTCCTCCACGGACACCTCCTGCAGCTGCCAGCGGAGCGGAGTGTGCGAGAAGATCGCCGCATCAATTTCGGTGGCGGGCATATAGTGTTTCATTGGCTCGAAAGGAAGTCGCATGTCTATATCACGCTGGCGCAGCTCCTCCTCCAGGAGAGGCTCCCTCCGCCGCTGCTGTTCTTCCACTTTGGAAGGATCAAAATCATACATGGAAGGACGCACATAAAGCGAGGGAGTTGTTGGCGGCAACGCTGCCGTAATGGCAGGTAATTCTGGCATCTCTTCATCTGGATCCTCCTGCTTCGGCGACTGTGATCCCGGCTCTGGAGTAGGAGTCGGTGTCAGCGAACGTGAATTTGAATTGGAGTTCTCATTACTGGAGTCCACATCTCCGTCGCCGCTATGCGCCTTGAAAGGATTTCGTATAATGTCGCGGTAGAAAGCCGCTCTAGCCTCGGGATCCGATTGTTTGTCGCCGAACAGAATCCGACTGAACACATGGGTGGAGGTGCTGCCTCCGCTGGACGAGGGTTTAAGTCCCGATTGCTCTACTGCAGCGAATTGTGGCATCTCCTGATTGGGCGACGTGGCACTGGCTGGCAGCAGTTGAGTTGCCGAGGATCCCTGGCCTAGCATGTTGCTCATAAAGCTTGGCAAATCGTAAACAGAAGGCAAGGGTGCCTCCTCTGTGGCGGAGTCCTGGAGGTCGACTGTCGGTGCTTTTGCCGGCTTTGGTTGTTGCTCCTCCTCAGGGGTGGACTCGTTGCCGTCGTCTATGACCAGTTGTTCGTCATCATCTCGATCATCGTCCACTTTAATTAAATGGGAAATATTTATCAATACAATAATTCAAAAGAACAAATAATGGCCTAAAATTTCGTAAACTAGGAAGGTATGTCTTTGTTAACCGTTCTAACCGTTTTTGTTTAGCATGTTGTAAGCTTTCAGCAATGTACTATACATTAAACAATGGTCTTACGTTAATTTAAAATCACGACTTGTTCTTTAAATATCCCACCCAAATTTCTTATTTTTAAACAGCTTAATATCAATTAATCCGAACAACTTACGCGGATCATTGCCCGAAAAGCTGACGTGTGCATCCTTCAGATACTGCGTATAGTCCACCATAATAAACCCATTGCTGTTGGAGTTGCTATTGTTGGTCTCCGTGTCTGGCTTGGCAATGGGAGTGCTAATAAAATAGGCACACAATTAGCATAAATATATAAATGCTATTTCTTAAGTGATAAGCCTACCTGATTGTCGTTTCGGTATGCGTCTGTGGCTTGGCGTCCTCGGCCTTGCGCTGAATCTCTCCAATCTCAACCAGAGTTAGACCAGCCTCGGTTAACTGACCAAACGGCACCTGCAACATCTGCTCCAGGTTGGTAATGCCCAACTTGTTCAGCTTGGCCATGTTTTCCGTACTCAACACGTGACTGAGATTGACTAAGTCTAAATGTTGTGGTAATGGTTTAGCAGCTGGCGATGTGTCGCCCGCTTCTGAAGAAACTGCTCCACCAGCTGCTGCCTTGGCTGCCGTTTTCTCAGCCCAACGGGATTTGCGCTTTTTCTCCGGATGCGGTGGATTGATAACCATGTCTAAAAGAGAGGGGATGCAGCCACCGACTTCCGCACCCGCCTGTTGTTCCTGTTGCTGCTGTATCTGTTGCTGCTGCATGTGCTGTTGCTGCTGTATGTGCTGCTGCTGCTGCTGCTGCTGCTGCTGCTGCTGCTGCACGTGCTGTTGCTGGTCCTGTCGCCTGCCCATTCCTGCACTGCCCATTATGCTCCACGTATTCTCCCGCTTAAATTGCTCGCACAACTGTTCGTGCCGTCGCGTCATCTGCCCCAGTGCAATTTCTCTCGATATTCGTTTAAAATCACCAAGGATCTCTTTAGGTGCCGTCTCCATGTGTTTCAGCAAGATGTTGCGCAGCTGCTCGGAAAGCGGTTCGCCGTGATGAAAGAGACAATCGTCGCCGGCATAGCAATCCATGCCCAGGTAATAGTACTTGCAGGGAAACTCCTTGTGCATATAAGAACATTTGTCTCGTTTGGCACAACAGTCCATCAAATAGAACTTGCACAGCTCAAGTTTGCGGGGTTCAATGCGACCGCTACCGCCCATCTTCTCCTGACCGACACCACCACCTCCCTCACCGGAATCACGACGATTTCGCTTGGCTCCTCCTCCAGCTCCACCTCCCTCATGGCGATCACGATCCCTTCGCTTGCGGTTATTGCCAACACGCTGCTGCTCCTTTTCTCTCTCTCTCCGCATTCGACGCCTTTGGTTTACCAAACCAGGTGCAGAAACCTCCTCATCGGAATAAGAATCGTAGCTGCTGTAGGGATCCTGCTGCGATTCATAGCCGCCTCCTCCGCCTCCAAGGGCAGCTCCCGGTCCCACGGCTGGGCCGTCGGCTAAGTCCCAATCAGGAGCGCTAAAACGCTGACCACCACTACCGGAAGAGGGTGGTGCTACTCCTCCGGGCGGCGGACTGCCGCCGCGTACGTTCATCATCTCATATTCGTCCATGTCATCACTGCCAGCACAGCCCGCCACACTAGACACATCACCATCTTCACGGCGGGACCGTTTCTGGAGAGCATATGTACGGAAAGTTAATTTAAAATACAGAAATAAGGATTCATCCAAAATTAACGTAAATAAACAGAAAGATAAGCAATCTTCTGGGGGGTTGTGTGTTGTGATGTTTAGGATATCAAACATTTATTATGGAACGTCAAGCAATAAAATCGAAATACAATCGAAAACTTCTTGGTGGAAATATCTTATACTTAAATAATAATAATTTTTTTCCATTTATATGACCCCCAGAAATTGATTTAACAAGGTTTTGGTGGGAATAACTCATAATTAAATCTATTTATCCAGACACATTTAGTAAAATCATAATTTAAAGTCATTTGTTCAGCAAATGTATCACATGAAAGGGTTTCAAAAAGTAAAATGAGTAAATGAGAAGTAAAAGCTTAAGTTCCCTGAAGTGAAAATATTAAAGTTTGCCATCGTCAATTTAACTTGCATTGCTGTTATCGTTCTGAAAACCGATTCCTCGGACCCTGCCTAAATGCCCACCTGGCTGGGTGGTGCCCAGCTAAACCAAACCATGCAGTAATAAAGTTGATAGATAGACCGAAACTAAAGGCAAAAAGAACAGGGTAGTGACTCGAATAAGAAAACAATTGGTCATGGAATTTGGTCACGCTACCTAACCCTGTTTTATAATTTCCTAAGTTCTCATAATGCTATAAATGTTAAACATATTATTTGTAATTTTATAGGATTTAAGGATGCCCAATGAGAGGCTGGAAAAGGTGAAATATTAAAGTTGGCCTGACCTGGTGCTCCTTGTCCTTCTTTTGCTCTCGCTCGCGTTCTTTTTTGCGTTTCCTTCGCCTGCTGCTGCGACTTGGCTGCTGGAGATGATTTCCGCCGCCAGATAATAATTCACCGGATCCCTCCAAGGACGCATCCCCCAAATCCTGGTTAGACGAACGCATCCTAGGCATTGGTGGTTCTATGCCCTTCTTTTTTAAGGCATTGGCAATGGCATTCTCGATGCTGCTAGCATGGTCATCTGGGATAGTCAGCACCAAAATATAGTGAATTAAATTTAAAAGAAAAATAAATCTCCTGAACTATTACCTTCCAATGGCCTAGGCTTCTTGGATTTGCTGCTATTGTTGTTTTGTGGTCCTGCAGAATCTGCAGATAATCCCATATAGACGACATCCTCGTCGGTGATTTTGTCCTTAACCTCGATGCCCACAAATTGGACCTCTTCATCCCCTGGGGAAACTTTCTTTTGGGCCGGAAAATTTGGTGGCGGTTGCTGCTCCTCCTCCTCGTCATCATCGTCAATTTCACCATCCTCTAAATCCTCCACCAAATCAATTACAGGCGCATCCGCCAAAATTGATGACATTGTTGTGTCTATAGCCTATCTCTCAAAAGCAGTGGAACTCGTAAAAAGCCTGTGGAAAGCGACTCCCTTTTTGCAAGACTGCTGGAAACACAAGAGTTTTTGGAGAACCTTTTGTTGATAAGGGTCATGGATATTGAAAACGTTCTATGTAGTTATGTGTATATATATCTCGAAATATTTAAGGGTGAAGTCCCAACCTAACCACATATGCGATCACAAACTTATAACTGAATGAAGGAAATTGGTTAACAATAAAAGCAAACGTTCCTGATTGGTCGAAATGGAGGTGTGTGATGTGATCTTTTAAAATAAATTTATTGTTAAATCTGAAAAGGAACAAATCTCTGCCTTGTAAGTGCGTTTTCAATGTGAAGAGGCAAACTGCATACTTCCCTCGTAATCAATTTACAAAAAAAATTAAAAGGAACCTAATTGCTTTAACAGGAATTACATTTTATGTTAAACTTTTAAGACTAGTAATCGTACAGTGGCCAACGAAAATGTTGCGCACAGCACGCATGCTGCACGCCAGTTCTGTTTTTATAAATTTAATAAATTTGGTATGTGTTTATTTTGTTATTCTGGGCCATTTTCTTCAGTTCGCACATTAAACTGAAAGTAGGTATTACACCTGAAAACGTTTGTAAGTTTGCAGGTTAAAACCTACTTCTAGTTTGGCATGCGGATAAGAAAACGGCTCTTAATGTTTTCAACTAACTGGCCAATAACAGAAATTAATTTCTGCAAGTGTTTTAATTGGTTCCAAAGAAAACTGAGCGAAAGCGATCATATTTAAACAAAATAAAATGTACAAAAACTGTTTGTATAATTCTGTTCCTTTTGCCAACCTAGTTCAGGATCACATGAATAGATTATGTCAACGCAGATTAATACTCAGGTCAAGAAAGATTTTGTAAAGGTTGTTCATCCCACCCGAAGGGACTAAATGCTCAAATAAAAGCAATCCATTTTAGCTTGAATCAAGTATTTTGTAGGAATGCGATGGAAGTCCTTCTTGACCCCAGCTTAACTCAGAGTTGGCACTATCTTGCAACGGACGGTAAAAACAACTTCTGGGCAATCTGCAAAGGAAAAATGGCTTTTCGCTAATATTTGGTTAATATACTTAAACATTTTTTTAATATATATATTCTAAAATATATGAGGGTTGGGTAACAAAGAGGATAAAACGGAAAAAAGTCAACCAATTCCATAGTTTTAATAAAATTGTTGATATTTTATTAGTTTTAATCAACAATTTTGTCAAAACTAGCTTTGATACAAGAATTGTATCAAAATTATTGTATTTAATGAATTAGAAAGAAAAAGGTTATCCTACAAAAAAATTCAAATTTTAATTTAAATTTATTAGTTGTAGAAAAACGAACTTTAGGTGCAGCATGCGTGTTGTGTCACATTTTCGCTGACCACTAAATGTATATATGTATGTAGCATTAAATAAAAGCAAACGAAGTACACTTTTGAGATCGCCATAAACAACATACAAATGTATATAATTTAGAAATTATTAAATAAAAGTTTTCTGAATTAAAAAAAAACGCAATTCCTGAAAACCGAAAAGCGAAAGTCAGCAAACCAACAGCAACAACCATTTCCATTGATTTTTCAAACAATCGTGTAGTTTGTTGTTGTGTGGAAGAACATGAATCGTTACACATAAGTCACACGCGCATATCTGCTACACATACATATGTATGCATGTACAGATGTATATCTGGGCGCGCTTGTACATATGTTAGTTTGTATATATCTGTCGTACTTGTAGCCTGCATACAAAATATTGATATATATCTGATGCATGCAATAATTTTGATTAATGAAAATAACAAAATCAAGTGATACTCACACACGCACATAAGGAGCGCGTGCTAAATTTTGTCTCGCGGTTGTTTATCATGTTGTCTCGCTTACACACCCATGACCTAACAAAGCATATGTACATACAGACAAGACTTCCATATGCATGTGTGTGAAGAAAGAGAATGTCTTCGTTAATTTATTATTTATGTTTGTGTAAAAAGAAAACCTTTTTGCTTTTTGTTTGCTGTGCGAGTTTCTTGAATGCTACTGCAAAATGCAAGCGTTTGTGCCAAGCACAGCTGCGCAGTTTACAGTTATGTATGTACATACGAACATACATACATTGAACGAAAAAGCACGCATTTTTATCTTGTTTTGCTGGCGTTCCAAAACCAAATGTATTTTTCAACAATTTGCGCCATTCGTCCCTTTCTCACACCCACACACGTAGCCAAGGGAGGCGTGGCCCCAGTGCAACACACATGTACATACATACATAGGTACATATACAGGGGAGTACATACAGATATTTCGGAACTAAGCCAAGCAAACATTTCATTTTTTCGATCTTACTTTTTAGCGTGATTTTATGTGCGATTTCTGTTTTCTTTTTCATGCGGAACATTTACAACCTTTCGGCATTTCTTTATAACATTTCTGTTCGGTTGACGGTTTATAGGTAGAATTTGTTGGTTCGTTGTTTTGCTTTTCGCTTTCCTGTTTTTTTGGCGTCACGGCTTACATAATGTGGAAGTGGTACAGTAGGTGAATAAAGATATATATATAGGCATATGTACATGGCATACAGCAGTGGCCATGCATATATTGACATACATCTAATGTATACGTATTTGGTGACGCAGCGTTTGTGTGGGTACATACATATATAGGTACGAAAAAATCGTTGAAGTTTTCGCAGAATCGAATAGCGACTTTAGACTTATTTTTTGCTGATACTATATATATGTACAGGTTTATGTGTGTGCGTGCGGCGATCTCTCGCTCGCACCCGCTTTAGCTCGCTTTCGCCCTCTCTGTCTCTCTGCCTGCGGGCCGGGGCCCTGTATCTCAGTATCTCTCTCTCCCTTTCTCTGTCTGTCTCTGTTACGCTCATGGACAGAATACAATATACAAAAACATTAAATTAATAAAACTTTTCGTCCAAAACATAGTAGTCAGGAGGGTTTGCAACAGTTTCGACAGTTTCTACTTGAATGAAAATCCCAGCGAAAGTGCTGGGCAAATTTGACTAAGACCCGATAACATACCGTTTATCGATGCATAAAGTATTCAATTATTTATACTGAATTATGTATACGTTTCAGTATATAAATACTGAAAATCCCAGCGAAAGTGCTAGGCAAAATTGCCCACAACCCGATAATATTTATCGATGAATGCAGTGTGACCGCGGGAGTATCTGTAAATTATACTGTTTGGTTTTGAAGAATAAACTACTTTCTTCATTGAAATATACCGCAACCGCATACTTATATAGCATTTAAGTGTTCAAGTATACCCAAAATATACCATATCGTCATTTTCTACTTATGCACTGTAAATTAATTCCCATTAAAATATATATTAATAAAAAATATTCCCCCCTTTCCAGGTTTGACAGTTCTTTCCTGCCATTTTGATATCCGAATGGCAGTTTGTCTAAAATTTTTCAAAGACAAACGCACGTATTTACATATAAAGTCAACAATAAAGTTGCCATTTTCAACAATTTTGTAAAATAATTGGCAACATAAAAACGCAATTCTAAATTTTTTTTGCAGTTAGACCTAAAAAAAGGCAGATTTTACAGGGAAAAAGAGGAATTGGCAGCCCCGATCGAACCTCATATCGCACAATTGTTAGCTTTTTTATGCTAAAATGAAGTCCCAAATTGGTACTTTCCCGCACAACATGGCCGGATCGAATCTGCTGACCCAACTGGACACCATTGACCTCAACGATCTGGTCTACGTGGAGCGTGACCTAAACTTTGCACAAAAGGTACGAAAACATTCACAAGATAACTTAAACAAAAAATGACACTAACTTTGTTTTGGTGGTTTAATTACCGGGAAGACTAAGTTACTGCTCCAAACTTCATTATCTTTATTTCCTTTCAAACGTATGTTGAAGAAAGAAGAATCGAAACCCTAAGTTTGTAGTTTACACATCCACAAATTTATTAATTAAACTGACATTTCTTCTAGGTAGGCCTTTGCTTCCTGCTTTATGGAGACGATCACTCGGACGCCACTTACATACTGCAGAAACTATTGGCCATGACTCGATCAGACATCCGGCAAAGCGATCTGCTCATGCAGTACGCCAAATCCCGGCCAGAAACCTGGAAAAGACACCTCGTAGAGGCTCTGTGCATTGTTGGGGCCCGCCAAGTGCTTCGCAGATTGGGTTTCCGTTGGCATGAGCTTCGAATGCACTATTTGCCACATATTAATGGGATTGCCCTGCATGTTCATCCTCTTTTGAAAAGCCTCTATAAGATCTGTGAGGAGTTGTCGCTGGCGCAAAGTGGACGCTTGGTCCTGGATGTTGGCGAGAAGGTGGTGCGACAGCAAGCGGGAGATCCTCTCCGTTTCTACGACCACACTTACCTTGAGGTATTCCTGCTAGACTGGCTGACCAGGAGATGTATACGGCTAGGAGACATAAATGCCACGGGCAGCGATGTTCAGCTGCTGATCGAGCATCTTAAATTTAATGATTTGCAGGAGCAAGCCAGGTTGCTTATAGACACAATCAATAGCAACGCTCCGGATCAGGATCAGACGGTGGCTCCCCCTCTGACCATCAAGCGAGAGATGCAACCCGACAGCCAACAGGCTTCCAGCTGTTCCACAGGCTCCGCGGCTTCCTCAAGTGCTTCTATCCGGCGAAGGAATGCCCTCCAGTTGAGCCGCGAAAATGCAGGAATTTGTCTGATCATCAACCAGCACTGCTTCCACCGGGATGTTACCGAAGATCTTAAGGTGGATATGATACTAAGTAAATATAAAAATAAACCCTCTTATTTCCTCTACAGAAATATCTTTCGCCCAAAGAATTACAAAAACGCGATGGGACGGATGTGGATAAAAGCCGACTTATTGAGGTATTTTCGTCAATGGGTTACAATGTGGAGTCACATGACGATGTGAATCACCTGGGCATTATGGACCTCATTCGCAGGGCCTGCGATAGGTCACTGCTGCGGGATTCACTGGTGGTGTGCATCCTAAGCCACGGTTTCGAGGAGGCCGTCTATGGAGCGAATAGCATCGCCTTGCGGATTACGGATATTGAAAACTTGCTCTGCAGCTACGAAACTCTTTACAACAAACCTAAGTTGCTAATCATCCAGGCATGCCAGGAGGAGGTTGTCAAGAAAGATGAGCAAAATCAAATTGGATTGCCCGTACGCATTTTTTTTCTCGTCTATATTATAAAAACTAGCTCATCTAATAAGTTAAGCTCGTGTTTTTATGTTTAGTTTTCCTTTTGTATTCTTCATTTTCAGTTTAAGATTGATGTCACCACGCAGTCGCCGTGTCAACACGTTAATATGGTACGGGCCATGTCCACAGTGAATGGATTTCCTGCGCTGCGACACACGCACATGGGCAGCTGGTTCATCCAGAGCCTGTGCGATGCCATCGATCAGCATTCTGCCAGGTAAATAGCTCACAAAGGTACCGAATTCAACTAATACATACATATAAATCTTTTCCACAACGCCTAGTGAACACATTGCCGACATCCTAATGATTGTCACCAACGTAGTGTCCAAAAAGCGGGGTAAAAACGACGAGTCAATGGTGCCAAAGTCTAATAGCACATTCGTCCAGCACGTTTACTTGCCACCTCGCCTTTGATCGGAACATTCTGTAGTTAGTAAATGGTAGAAGGATCTTCCTCAAAAACTATAAGTTAAGTCTGTTATGCAGTCTTGCAAGTCTTTATTTTAATGGATCACTTTTAGAATATATGAATTTATAAATAGAGATAAACATTTGTATGCCTTTTATAATCTTAAAAAATGGCCTAGGACATGTACGACTTTTCTATAAATAAATTCATAAGAAAAGAATTAATTTTGCGTAGTTTTGACTTGACCGATATTGTTTCTATTTGATCTAATTTATTTGTATATAATTTGTAAATGTATTTTCATTTAAAAATGCTGATATTTGATTTTATAGTTTATTGGCTTCAATACTAATTTAGTATTTAACATTAGATATTTCCTAAGAACAAAAAACTTAATGTTAATCTATTATTAAGCAGGGTTATTTATGAAGCGAACTTAATTATTTTGTAGGCTTTTTGCAAGCTTTTTCGTCTTTGCCCTTTTTCGTTTTCAGTTGTTCCCCCTTCACTGCCTGCGTCCCATCTTCCACTTCCATACCTTCCCCAGAAACCTGCTGCTCCTGCTTTGTTGTCTTATTTGCCGACTTAGAATTCTTTGCCACGACTTGAATTATTTCTAGCAAGTTCTGGCGTTTCTGGGCACCTTGGGCCAAAATCTTCTGCAGCAGCTTTAATTCTTTGGGACTGCTAGGCTCTGTCTCTAGTTGATGTACATATCTGGCTAGTTGCTTCTCGAATTCCTTGGAAGAGGAGCTGTCATCCTTGAGAGCTGATTCGAGTCTCCGAAATTGCTCACTGAGAAGCTTTAATATCTGTGCCCGCCGGAAACTGCGTGTTTTCTTTACATCCAAATGGGAAGCCAAGACAACGGCCAGCGGAGCAATTCCCTGCCATTGACTAGACTGGAAGAGAGCCTCGAAACTAGCCAGCGATAGACGACTACGACGATTGGCTACCCACAGCTCCAGGAATTCAACGAGCAAAGGCCAAACGGCACTATGCTTGGGCTCCCCAGCTGCTGAGCCCTGGCAAACCAGGTAGGCGAAGCATTTATCCCGCCAAATAGCGACCTCTCCCTTTACCTGTCGGTTGGTCGATTGCTTGCTATCCTCTTGATCCTCCTCTGACTTATCCTCTGCAGTCGACATCAGCTGCTCAATGGCCTCTAGAATGGGTGCCGAACCCTGCTTCGCATCAAATTCAATATTCTTAGCGAGCAGCTTTTTGAGCAACTTTAAACTGGCCTCCCGCAAGGATTGCAGTTTGGTGTCGCCACTGCAGTGTCGGTACACCTGAAAAACGCAATACAGCACGTCCAAGATCACCGATTGTGTTGGTTTCTTTGATATAAACAGCTCGAGTAAATCTAAAGCGCGAATGCGGAAGTGCAGCAGTCTAGTGTTATCAATGCGTTCCGATTTGGAGGGTCGCTCTTTCTCCTGGGCTTTGCGCGACTTGGGTCGGAACAACTGAAAAGATCGCTCCAGGGCAGCATTTAAACGCTCACCCTGCTCCTCATCCACATCGTTCCAATCCACGCTACTGGCGCCATCCTCATCGGCGTCGTCTTCGTTGACCAAGGCCTGACGAACGCTCTCGCGAATTTGTGCTAAATGAGAATCCTCATCGTCTTCCTCCTCCTCACTATCATCATCCTCACCGTCTGAATCGTCGCTGGAATCTTCTTCGATTTCGTCATTGCTCTCATCTTCGTCATCGTCTTTCTTGCTTAAGGGATTTTGGTTCATGTTGAGTACTTCAAGAACCTGTTCAAGGTTAGCATGCTCGAGGTGGGGAATCAAAGCAGTGCCCACCAGGTTGACAAACTCACGCCAAAAGTGGCCTGTTTGTAAGAGCAACTGCAGCAGGGCATCTGTAAGCACATCTTGCCATTTAAGTTCCTCGTTAACCTAAATAATAAAAATTACTAAAGGTGCTATAGTGGTTTTAATGTGATTTTTTCTTACATTCTTCTTGCTCTTCTCCAGGGCATTTCTTCGGCATATAACCAGATCCTCCAAAACGGTAATGGATAGAGGATTTTTTGTGAACAAAGATAAAGAAACAAACAGGATAAGCGCCTCGAAAGTTTGTGCAACGAAATCAGTTTCTTTACTGGGATTCGCCAGCAATTTTTCCACCCGTTTCCATACTTTCTGCGAGGTCTCATTCCTTGGGAAACGCAATTTGCTCTCCGCACCTGGTTTCCCCAACTCCTTGTTGAGATAACTCAAAGTCTTTTGAAGCAACTGACAAAGAGCTGGCAGACCAGAGCACTTGTGCAGCAGAGAACCCAGAAAGATTTCCTCACAACGCGTCGCACACTGGCGACTGAAAGCGCTGGCTTTGGGGGCCTCACATGGCTTATTATCGGTATCTAAATGGAAG